AGCAATCTCAGGGTTTGGTGTCAATTTCCAGTGGTAGTTAACTTTTGGGACCGGTGCCTCCTTTTATTTATCTATTTTTAATTGAGTCTGCACATAAGGTCTCGGCCTAGTAGATTAACCGGGCACAATGGGGAATATAGAAAAGAATGTTTAAGCTGGTTGCCCTGAGAATCAAAACACGTTAGCGGTGACGTAAATTGCTCTTTAGTCGTCTCTCCCCACGCTGCTAATGAGAATGTGAAGCGGCCACTCATTTTAGGGGAGACAGAAAGGCTGTCACTTTTAGCACAGAATTTGTTGCCCCGGAGTCATCCAGAATTTTAACTTGTACACCACAGATTGTTAGCGTATATTACGGGCATGAATTATCTCTAAAAAGTGCCAATTGCAATTTGTTGTTGTTCAACTTACATGAGCGGTCGCTTTGGTGACGAATGTGAACCCGGGTTTGGTCAGTCGCTCGTGTTTCCTCCACGCCCGCCTCTGCCGTCCTCTGGCCCCGTGTGAGCTTGAGCGTTCCTCTGCCTTTAACGCCTCCTCCGGTAACAGTCCTTCGACCCATGTCGAGCACACAGTCTTTCCGCCGGGCTGTGGAAGTTTCTCAAAGTCCGCAGGAGGCCCAGGTAGCCCAAAGCGTTAGCCTGTGGTCCATGAGGGTTGGTGAATAACCAAACGTGCCGGTACTTTTGGCTTCTTCTGTTTGCGGTGCGGGGGCAACTTTCAACGAGGTTTCAGCGGGTGCGTTTTGTGTTTCACGCTGTCGCCTCCGTGGGGAACAGTCACGGGATTTGGAGCAGTTTGTCTCTGGCCTCCAAGGCAGTTGTCGGTGTCTCACATATCTGCTTCCCCCGCTTCTTCTTCTGCGGTTTCCTGAGCGTGTATCTGCTTCCGCCACGTCTTCTTCTGCTCCCGGGTTTGGGCCCACTTCTCGCGGGGTCTCAGCTGGTGCGAGCGCCGCCTGTGGTTGGGGCGTGGGGCTGGTGCTTTGAGGCAGAGGACAGAGCGCGGAGGAAAAGCGCCGACAGACCTGGACAGGGAGAGGAAAAGGGACAACAGTAGTCTGCTCATTTTTTTAAAAACCCAACGCCTTGTTTGGGTGCACACTTATTGTTAGTAGGGGAAAAAGGGGCGGTAGGGTGGGGGTGTGGGGGTGTGGGGGATGTGTGTGTGTGTGTGTGTGTGTCCGCCTGTGTGTTCTCCGCTTCGGTGAAAAGCGGAGGAGCTATTGTTTTACATATTTCTTTCTCTAACGTCTTTTGCCGTGATATTCTTAAAACCAAGTATATTTTTTTCCTCCCTTCTTCTTCTAAATTATCACGCAAGATGCATAATTGATTTGGAGACATAGAGCCTCCATAGCTTTAGGTCCGAACCGTTTTCTAATGGCCATTGTAACGGGGGACGTTAACATTCCCCTCGGTATGGCATCTCTAGATTGATTTTCCCATTTTCTCGTACAGAACAATGGGCCTAACCCGCTTAGTCTCTCCCTGCTCTTACCCACTTTGGGGCGCTCCGTTCCCCCCCCCGCTGGTTCAACCAGCGAGCGCGCGTTCTTGAAAACGGAGCGGTTCTGGCTGAAGACACTTAGAGATTCCAGGGTCGCTTACAGAGCGATACTAACGCGCAGCCGCTAGCTTCAATCTAGAACAAAATACCCCCAAAAATCCCGCACACAGTCTATGCTGTGGCAATGCATGAAATACCCCAAAAATACGTAAATAAACAAATCCCCGTGTACACTTAAGTGCTCGTTACGCAGATGAAAAGACAAAACTCACCAAATCAGGTTCTTTTTGGTCTTGTGTGGCCAAAGATTCCTTTCACTCGCGGACGAGCGCGCCCTCCTTTGTCTCCAAATAGAGAAGAGGCTGGTGTTGTTTCCAGGTCGGCCAAACGCGGCCGCTCGTCCCCGCCGAAAGTATCCATGCCAAGACATGTCAGCAACGCCAAATTGTTATAGAATTACATACCCCAAAACAAGGAGAAAGCCCAAAAGTATTTGTCTTAAATCAGGAGCGTAGTTTATTGTAACGCACGTGCGGAGAGCTAGCATATCCAGCAGGCAGCATACCCAGCTCTGGGGCGCAGAGCTCAACTTCCTGTTTACATAGACACACATGAAAGACAGTCACGCCCACAACCGATGGGAGGGGGCCACCGGTGAAGGAGGCGCATAGGAAAGCGCAGGCGCCATGCCCCTGTGGTGAGGCAATCAGACACAGGGCATGGAGGTGCGAACAGACAGACAATGGTAGAAATGCAAGCATACAGATGCGAGATGCGAAAGACACAAGGGTGTGACAGACAGCAGGGACCTTCACAAAGCTCAGCATGGCGTCAGAAGGTCGTCTCTGCATCGAAAAGGCCTTTTACGTCCGTGTATTTGCTGCGGCTGGTTTTAATGTGATTACTCTAAAAACTGTCATTACAAGTGAGAGGACAAATGCCCCAAAAAATAATAACAATTGTAAACCGCTTTGTGACCCTTGTCTGTGAAAGGCGGTATATAAATAAACATTACTTACTTACTTACAATTTGTGGTGACATATTTGGTGTCTGTATATTGGGTAAGGTTACCAATTATGACTCTTAAGCTTTAATATATTAGGCCTAAAATCCAATAGAATGTTGTAATAAAAATAGGCTTAGAAATATAGCACCATAATATCTTGATTATAGGCTATGTTACATCAGCTACTGCTCTGTTACAGTCCATCATGGAGGTTAGCACTTGTGCCTCACAGACATAAAGTCCCGGGTTTGATTTCACAGCCAGTCCTTACTGAGTGGAGTTTGCATGTTCTCCCCGTGTCTTGCTAGGTTTACCTCCAGGTGCTCCAGATCTCTCTAAATCAGTACAAAACCAAACATACACTTTACATATGGCGGTTCACTTTAAGTTATCCACTCATTATCAGAAGTTGCACATTGTGTCATTCAATGTTCTTGTGGAAGAATGTCCAGGGTTTATGTTCAGGTTTTATTTTGTTTTATTGTACGTGCATACATAAAGCAGAACTATTATAGGTTAAACAAATGTTCATGAAAAGTATAGTGCAGGGGAACAGGATGTGAAAGTGTGTGCAAAGGGAACAGGATGTCAGTTGACGTGCGCTTCAGCAACAGTTCTCTGAAGTGATAAGAACAATGGAAAGTTTAAGATGCTTGCACGCTGAGTTGGGGGCGTCTCCAAGCGCACCAACTGCCTTGCTATCATACTATATATGGTATTGTGTAAACTGTAACCACACCTACTATTCTTGTGTTGAATAAAAGCTGTGCCCGGAAAGGAGCTCATCGGGAAATCACTCTGCTAGTACACGTAAGTGTCCTGAGCAGTCTGATAAGCTTGATGTGTTTCCCCCGTGATCACGTATACTCGTAACTACATGTGTCCTTTTGAGTTATTGTAGGTACAGGAGTTAACCTTGCAAGGTGAATTTATTTCAGGCCTCTAGGTTGTTTGGTTTTTGGGTCTATGATCTGTCGGTCACCACGCTTAGTGCCTGGTGCAATTTCCTGACAGTTCTTGATATGCTGCTATTCTGAACATGATTTAAGATTTTTGATTTTATTCGTCCCACAGTGAGGAAATTTCATAATGCCATAACAAAATCTGCATACTGTTAAAAGTATGTTAACTTCTCCATCTTGTGGTGCCTTGTTTTCAAAAATCCATTCCAACCAATTTTCTTCCCACCTAAGCTCAGATGCTTCATATGGACGGAAGCCATACGTCACATAAAAGACAGCACATTCATTTGTACTGTACTTTCAATTATTACGTTTCAGGAGAGAAGTTAATGAGCAGAATAATTGCTAACATGAAGCGCTTCTCCCTTTGTATTACATGCATTATGACAGAGTCTAATTTAGTGTTGGCGGTCTGGGATGAGGCAGATGAGTGAGAATATCAAATTACCCATCACCACGATAAGCTCATCTGTTTTTCAGATAATAGAGCTCTGGCCAATCACAGGAACACAGAGGTAATGTTGATTATGTGGAATCTCTTCTCAATTATTTTATGATTTATTATGTTAGTGTGTGTTGTTAAAATGAGCTCTATGGAACACCTGTGGCCTATTGCAGGGGTCTCCGACCTTTTCACCCAGAGAGCTACGTTTGTATATTTGTGGGAACCAGCTTCAGAATGGGAACTGTCACTATCAGCAGTTGTTTAGCATCACAAATTTGCTACTACTGCACACAGTAAGTTAGCATTTACCATAGGCTTTTACTCGTACTCGTACTCACACCATAGGACCCGATGCGGGGAACTGATACCCACATTTTTAATTTGCGTTAGCGTCACGACAGGAGACAGCTGTGCGGTATGTTTTGCCATGGTGATCTCTTAAAGTCTGCAGCGAGAAAGCGTTTGCTGCCAGCTTATCGGCAGCTTAGCCGCTATCTTAGCGGCAAGCAAATGTCAGCCGTATAGCAGTTTTTTAAAGTAAGTGAGTGACAACAGTAAAGCAAACTGTACCTTGTGTAACGAGGTGGGTCCAACACCAACACGTATAACACCAGCAACTTGATCAAACATCTGAAAGCTCACCACCACTTTTACTCACCGCTGTCTTATTGAAAAAGCGAATGAAGCATTCAGCATTTTACTTTGGACTAGAGCAGAGAAAATGGTCCGAACCAAGCGGCTCCACCGCTGCTGCTGTGACCTAATGTTGTTTGTGTGAATGGATGTGTTTTTGCTGCTACTGGACACCTGAATTATTCCTACGGGGATCAATAGTAGTATCTAACTAACAAACTAACTAACCACCTGTGCCAGCACCGAAGCACAACAACAACCAACTCTACAACATAACATATGACTGGACTATGACAGTGGCTCTTATTGTTGTATCCATATTCTGTATATACAATTTCATTCCCCTATGATGTACTGTTATCCCAATGCCGCCCCTCAGAGAAAACAATGGCCCTCCCCTGATCTTAACACTTCTCAAACCTATGTGACTCTTGTTGTGCACAGGACAAAGAGTTCCAGCCGGACCTGGTGGCGTCCAAGTCCCAGGCAGCTGCGGGCCTCTGCTCCTGGGTGCTGAACATTGTCAAGTTCTACCAGGTCTACTGTGAGGTGGAGCCCAAGAGGCAGGCTCTGAGCAAGGCCAACCTGGAGCTGGCATCGGCCCAGGACAAGCTCTGCACCATCAAGAACAAGATCAAAGTAAGTATAGTAGGTCCACTGTGGTCTCCTGGGTTAATGTGAGCCAAAGCAATGTCACAGCTGCCATTCTGTAAACTGGCAAAGGTGTGGACGACTAAATTGCATTTCCTGATGATTAAAAATGGCTTATGAATCATTTTTACATTTGGTTTGTTGGTCTCTATAACAGTTTCTTGATCAGTTTATTTCACACAGAAAAGTCAAGTATAGGCATTTATGCTCTTGCTCAGCCAATCAGATCATTGCAGGCCCTTTCTTAGTTTGCAATTTTCCGACAATGTTGTGTTTTGTAGTTGTTTGCTTTTCCTCTAACTTGTCAGTCAATTATTCTAGGAGAAATAGGAAAATTAATATAGCCAGGAAAAAAATAGCTGTCAGTCAAACTTGTTAATAACGGCGTTAACGCAAACCCATTTTAACGTTGTTAATTCTTTTATCTTGGGGTTAAAGCGATTTAAGTCTATGGAGACGTGTAGAGGACATAAGATTCACTAAATATTAGATGGTAGCAATCTATAGTAAGGGTGTATTCAGACCTGCACATTTGCTCCACTTTAAACGGACCAGGATTCGTTTGGAACTCTGATCCGAAGCTTTTATGCCGGTCTGAATACACACAAACGAATCCTGGTCCGGACCAAAGAACCGAACCGAGACCCACTTTTTGAGTTGGTCTCGGTCCGCTTCCAACCAAATTCTGGTCCAAGTCGAATCAGGTCTGAATACATCCGGTGTTGATCCGACACAACTCCAAGATACGTGCGCATTTTTTGGGCTTAACAAGCCGCAGACAGAAACTGAGGCATTAGCCATGCAGCGGCTAACTATGATGCTAACTATGCTGCTAACTATGCTGCTAACTCTACACAACAACACTGAGCCGTGTGCAGACCTGGAGCAGTGAGGAGACGCTGTGCAACAGGCTTATGGAGTTACAACTGTTCACAGTATACAGTGATGTTAATGGCAGCATCTTCAAACCATTTGTATTATTAAAAGCCTGACACTGTTTGACTCACGTCTCAAAGAGCAATATTCCGCATCATGTAGTGAATTGTGTTCTTTGGTTCCTACCTGATCCTCAGCGTCTGTTTGTCCCGTGGTTATTATAGATCCATGGTTTATCCACAATGCTGAACAGGGCCGTTATTATAATAGATCCATGTGTGGGACAGGGCACGGAGCGCACAGACAGTCTCCTTCGGCTTTCTCCTCACGCATTCTCCGACGCTGTTCCAATATTTAAAACAGCGCGTTTCGCCTGTGTCATATGAGCTGCTGCTGTTGATGTTGAAGGTGGTTTTGCTCTAAAAAGAGCAAACATAGGCAGAGCAGACATGCTGCACATACGAGCCCTCAATGTTTTCTGCCGGTTCCGCGTCTATCCTCCGTGAGCTCTTGCTGTCCAATAGGAGCGCCGATCGTCACACGTGTCAATATGTTTATATAAAAAAGTTCACTTGCAAAAAGGAGAGTCTGAATACGAACCGGAGCAAAAGAAAAAAGTTTGGTCCGCTTTTGATTCGGATCAAGCAAGCGGAGCAAAGGACTTTTCAGGTCTGAATACACCCTAAAAAATGTTGGTTTCATCTATTAGCACTAGTCCTGTTAGAATCCTGAAACTACAAGAACTTTTAAAAATCCTGAAATAAGCTAAACGAAATGCTAACTGATGCAAGTAAAGAGTGTGTTGCTATAGTAACAAGCACTTGCCCTGAACCAGTCCAGGAAAGTCTTGGATAGAGATTATTTCACAAACATAACTACATTGATATAATTTACATAAAGATATAGAAGAAGTCACAAAGTTTTGAAGACCAAAAACGTACATACGTAAAGTAATTACACTTCCATAATAGAGTGTTCTACTGTTAAAGATATATAGGAGGGTTTTCTACTTCCGGGTGGATCATGAAGACTATTGGTCCTCCTAATTGTCAATCATTCTGGTGAGACGTGCTCGTCAAATAAGGGCAGAGTTTTGTTCAAAAGGTGGAAAATCCTCCTCTATACATTTAAGTTATTTCACTGCTAAAATTGAATAAACTGTTTTCCAGACGAAGCACAAAAACGTTCCTCATTTTTCATCCGTGTCTATCCCACCAGGCTCCATGTGTCTGCATCTGCATTTGACAGAAGACTTATCAGAGGAAGTCAAACACAGCTTTTTGCCAATAAACATCGTGATTCTATATTTTTAATGGGAACCTGTCAGACTGAAACAATCCAGTCAAACACTCAAATGGCTCTTTCTTTTTCTCTGCTTTAAAGGTCTGCGCTTGTGAGATGTTTTGTAGCCTGCAGTTTGACACAAAAGCTCTCCGACAGAGGCACTAAAGTCAGTCTGAAACTTCAAATTACCTGCGCTCTTTACTTTGAAAGGCCTCTCAAAACGTCAGGGGGTATAAACAACTCCGCTGACGCCCCCCAGATACACGCAAACTCTCAGTGTGCTGTGATGGAAATAATGCCAGGATAATTATACGGCAGAAGCTGGCGGGATATGAATGTTTGGATCAATGTGTGAGTGACAGTTGACACATGAGCTACTCCCGTAATGAAACGCCACCAGTGCATTTGGTCAAAAAAGCCAGTGTAAAGCCTCTTAAAGACTTATACTGTTAATTAATCTATTAAAGGGCTGCAGATCCAAATATTGTATGTGAGATGTTTGTTGCTTCATCCAATGAAAGCTTCCAATATGTGTATTTTCAGTTTGTTTGAAAGTTTAAACATCCAGGTAGAAATATTTAACAATAATTATAATACATTGGTTTTATATATATGCTTTTCAGGACACTCAAAGAAACTCTTTTTTATTCTTTCACTCCATACACGGTGGTGATAAACTACTATTGTAGCCACAGCTGCCCTGAGGAACACTGACAGAAGTGAGGCAACCAGTACTGTATGTGCCATCGGCCCCTCCGACCACCACCAACCATTCACACACACGCCACACTCATTCTAGGCAATGGGGGTGAAGTGTCTTGCCGAAGGACACTGAGCTACTGTCGCCTTAGTTTGGCCCTTTACAGCCGCAGCTACTCCACTGCCTCCCATCACTGTACTAACCAGCCCCTGCCCTGCTTAGCTTCAGAGGTTTAACAGGATCTGGCTTTTGCATGCAGGTATGGCCACAGATTATTAGATGAATGATGACGCTTCATATGGCCTTATGCTGTAGATTCACTTAATACATGGTGCTGGTAAACTACTGCTGCTGCCATCGTTGCCCTGGGGCAGACTGACGTAATGTGGGTGGCTTTCCTGAGGACACAACTACTGCTAGAAACTTGATGAGTTTGAGTATAAGCTTGTATAAGAGTGTTATACAACTGGGATTTGTTATAGAAGATTGATGAACATGTGGTTGCCAATAGTAAATGTATCTGAGTGAAGTTTTGATCACTGGCATCTGCTACGTCAGGGGTCTCCAACCTGTGGCTCGGGAGCTACCAGTAGCTCGCCAGCCCCTTTCAGGTAGCTCCTTAAAGGATTTAGAATTTAACAAATTATCTTGAATTAATACATTTTTAGTCATTACATGTCAATTACAAGTTAAAAATATAGGGTTATACAGTATTATGGTATATTTTACATGTGTTCTCCATGTGTGTTCTCTCTAGACGTTATAATTACAAAGATTTTTATTACGACTGCAAAAGGGAGTAGCTCTCTGCCTCTTCTGTTGTATAAAAGTAGCTCTCCAATTGGAAAAGGTTGGAGACCCCTGTGCTACGTGTTCACACAAATGAGTAATTATGTATGCAACACCATCCATCCATCCATTTTCATCCTTTTGATCCAGTTTTGGGTCCGGAGGGTGGTAATCAGAGCTCCCTCCCAATTCACATAGCACCAGGCCCCTCACTGATCCTCACCCACTGCTTTGAGCGGCCTTGGTCTTTCAGTGGGGGCTTCAGGCAAAGTGGGGTTAAGTGGCTTTCCCAAGGACACAATGACAGCAGTGGGAGTAGTATTGAACCCACGATCATCAGGCCCGAAAGCCTCTACCAACTGAGCCACTGTCGCCCAATGTGACAGCTCAATCAAAATACAGGATTTACTTGCATTTTAAATCTAGTATGTTCTGATATGTTCCACTTTTCAGCCACACAATTACAGAGTGTGACAAGTGTCCCATTGGAAACTGTCAAGACATTTCCCCAAATGACAGTCAAAAATATATCATTCATGAGGAATAGTCCAACGTGGGATCTGCGTAAAAGCAGTTTGGCGATGGATGAGACGAAAAAGCACTTTTGTTCGTATGGTATTATTATCATTGTGTACTTGAATATACATTTCAGCAACTGTTTAACATTCAAGTTGTCACATTCTCCCACTGGCAGAAGATGTGGCTTGAAAATAAGAAAAACACATGATGAAACTAGTCAGAAATCCTTCCAAACTAGACCTGCTCTCTAATGAGCCCAGCCATTTAGAGGCAACGGGAGCTCTGCTGCTGTTGTGCCCATGAGCAACACACTGGGCTCTCAATGACTGTGTGTGCTGCTCCGTGAATGTGTGAGGGGGGCTTTGAAGGTATGAGAGGATTTTAATTGCAGAACGTTATGGGGATAAATAAATCAGGTCACGACTGGTTGTATGGAAAAGGGTTTTTAAAGATGAGAAAGTGTCCAGAAATCATGCGTGTAAAGTTATTAGAGACAAATAGCGTGAACGGTTCTTATCAAAAACAACCTATTTTTGTTTTTGTCCAAATCTCAGGAAAGTCGATTTGACGGCTTTCCTTAACTTAAAGTGCTGAACCAAATAAGATAGCATTAAAAAAGGGGGGAGATTATATATGTTTTTACTTCTTTCTGCTCCTTTCCATTCATGCTAAATGCTTTTGTTGCATTTGTTTTTAAATGAATGAAATAAATAAACAAAACAAATATACAATCCTTCAGTTGTATGCACAGCTAATCAAACTGTTTTTAACCTGGATTTAAACATAGTCAGAGAAGAGGAATGTCTCAAATTTTCAGGAAGATTGTTCAAGATTTTAGCAGCATGAATCTGAAATCAAAAGAGGGCAACAGTAGAGCATTGGCTTTTGAGCCTGAAGGTTGTGGGTTCAAGCCCACCACAAGACCTATACTTCTCGACTCCCACTGATGACTGCTGTTGTTGTGTGCAAGACACTTAATCCCACTTTGCCTGAAGCCCCCACTGAAAGATCTCAGCTCCTGTGGACTCACCACCTGCATGAGTCATTGAGGGACTGGTGTACTGGGTGCAGCTCTGACTGCCACCCCCCGACCCCGAAATGGATTAAGGGGAAGAAAATGGATGGGTGGATGGATGAATCTTAAAAGCAGTCTCCCCATGTTTTAGTTCTGACTCTGGGCACTAACAGGAGTCCCGTCCCTATGCTCTTCAGAGTCCGGACCGGATCATATGGGACTAACATGTCACTAATATATTTTGGTGCGAGGCCATGGAGAGATTTGTTCACAAGCAGAGCTGTTTTAAGCTGTTTTTGTTCCATTCTCTGAGCCACAGGAAGCCAGTTTTGGAAGTGTAATTACTCATGTCATGTCATGTCATTTTCATCCCCTTTATCATTCCATTTCTGGGTCTGGGAGTGGCAATCAAAGCTGCCACCCAAATCACATAGCATTTTTATGTAATTATTTTGATTACATTATTCTCCCATCAACTGATAGTGAAGAGCCATTTCTCGTTACCATAGCAACACACTGCTTACTGTTAGCATTTAGCCTCTGTTGTATTTAGTTTAAACCACAAGATAAAACCACAAGTTTTAAGGCAAGGCAAGGCAAGTTTATTTATATAGCACAATTCATACAGAAGGCAATTCAAAGTGCTGAACAGAACAAGAAAGCATTAAAATCATAAATAATCACAGAACATTAAAAATAAAGATAAAAGTATAAAATCCCTCAGTTGTATGCACAGCTAAACAGAACTGTCTTTAACCTGGTTTTAAACATTGTCATTGAGGAGGCCTGTCTCACATCTTCAGGAAGACTGTTCCAGATTTTCCTGAAGAAAATCTGGAACAGTGAGTAAAGGTCAATACCTTGTAAAGTACTGGCTTTTAATAAATCAGGTGGAAAAACCAAAACATTTTTGGAGGAACTTTTTCTGAATTCCATTGGTTGTAACAGGAGCAGTCAAAATGACGGCTCTGGGAGTTCTAGTAGTTTCAGAATTCAGAGTCTTATTATTAAACCTATCCCATTCTTTTAACGAAATCCTCATTGTCTTTTAAAAGTTCTGAGTTTGGGATTTCTGCTCTGATATCTAATGGTGGTGATGTGTGTAGGTCCTGGATGAGAATCTGTCCAAGCTGACGGCCAAGTTCGAGAAAGCCACAGCAGACAAGCTCAAGTGTCAACAGGAGGCAGATGCGACCGAACGCACCATCACTCTGGCCAACCGCCTGGTAAGACTCTCTACGTCACACTCCTGGTCCTAGACGTGCAGACTGATTAACTACATCGACATATGTCAGGGTCACCAAGGCTTGTTTTGATAATACACTGGTCCCTCACTACAACGTGGATCACCTTTTGTGGCCTCGTTGTTTTGCGGATTTGTGTGTGTCCACAAGTGTAATATGAAAGTAGATATTCAAAGCCAAAGGATCGAGATCGGTGTTGGTCGTCGGTGTAAGCCTAATGCAATAGAAATATTGCTTTCAAACTGGCTCATTGTCTTCACTGCCATCTACCTGTGCCCAGTGACCATTCAGGTCAGTTAAACTTTTTATGGAATATGCAATACATGCCTTTATGTGTGTATGCTCTTGACTCGTCTGGGGATTTCCTGTGGGACAAAAAACTCCCACAAAAACCTGAATAAACATAGATAGATAGATAGATGCTATATTGATTCCCCGTAGGAGAAGTTCAGGTGTCCAGAAGCAGCAGAAACACATCCATAAAAACAAAACAAATAAGTAGATAAATCTAATAATAGCTAACAAATGCAATAGCACATTGGGTCACAGCAGCAGAGGTGGTGTGGTCACTTTGTTCTGACCATTTTCTTTGCTTTGGTCCAAAGTAAAATGCTGAATGCTTCATTAGCATTTTTCAAAAAGTTAGTATTCCTCCAGTGGATTTTTGGCTGATCCGCTTGGTTCAGACCATGAATCCTCTCTGCTCCGGCCTGGACCAGTGTAAAACCATGAACACTGTACTGCAGTAACATCTCAGGTAGAAAAACGAAAAAGATAAAAACAATTGTAAAGCACAAAACAACTGTTTCAGAGACACTTAGGACTTGCAGCCATTTCCAGCACATTCAAAAGTAGATTTTCCAGCTTGCTGCATTACTCATAAGCTTGCATGGCCCCGGAAATATGGCGGCGTGGCAAGAGCTCTGGTGGGTACTATCTTCTCTGTCTGATGCACACTGGGTAAGTCTTGCACAGTTATTCCAGTGACAGTGACGCAACGGTGACGACCCGACATTGGTAAAAGTGCCGTTGGACCTCCATCCCATCTCATACCAGCTACTTGACTTCAACAGAAGATCAACCATTAGAAACAATAAGGGCGAGGAAGGAGGTTTAGTGATTTTCTGATGCAGCCCAGGTCTTTTTTTGATTAGAGCTAATGCTGTGACATTATTAAAAGCTCTCTTGAAGTCAGATTGACGTCACCTGCCAATTTAAACAGTAACTGTCAGTAGCGGTGACAACATGAGTCTCCATCCCGTACCTGCGTGTCAGCACACCGTTAGCATGATCGTGGGCATTATTCAGACAAGATTCAATCCCTAGTCAATCCTCCAATATCCATGCAAATGTGGGCAAAGTCGCTGAGCACAGAGAAGGAGCAGGCTTGGTGAGGCGGAGGAGATGAGCCCAACGTTTATTGATCCCCGGAGGAAGAGGAAAAGGTGTTTGTACACACGCAGAGGTAATATGAGAGAGGGAAACTCATTTAAAGCACAGTTGAAGAAAGCAAAGGTTGTTGCACAATCTCCTCCGTGTTAGCGAGAAAGCAACTGAAGTTCAACTATATAATACATGAAAGCTCGGATGAAGGCCTGGGAGCAATATAACAGCGTGGAAGAGGCGTTGTTGTCCAGAAATGTCCAAACAGACAGGGGAAGTGATGGAGCGGATCGTTGTTTGTTAGCCATCGGCTCCACAAACTCACCGGATTCATCTGGAGTTTGTTATTAAGGCCAGACACAAAGGGCGAAAGGAGACTAAGAAAAAAAAAGGGTGTTATGGTTTTGATGCTTTACAAACTGTACATGAATGTGAGGAAGAATACAGTGCAAGTAGTTCATCTGTTTCTTTAGTTTGCTGAGAGATGCAGACAGCTTTAGAGACCATTTTGGTGATCGTATGTACTGCAAAAAGGGATGAAAAATAAGTAAATATTTGCTCGAATTTGTCAAAAAGTCCATTATTTTGAGAACATTCTGACCGTTCTAAACATAATTTGCCAATATGACAATGAGCAAATGTTCTTGTTTTAAAATGATTGAAGTCTCCCCCATGGAATGAGAAAATAAAGCAACAGTTCTTGAAGTAAGACTAAATGGATCTGTCCCATTGGCAAATTTTAATACAGTCGGAATCATAAAAAAACGATTTAAGGAATTATCACCTCATATTTTATAATCTTTTGCAGTGTATAAATGTTGGAGGAGGAAAATCAGTAAGAGTTGGGACTATCCAGGTCCAATATGTTTTACATGGCTCACAGTATGATACAGTACATATCATAGTCATAGAGGTCCCATAGACTGTATATAGATGGTCTATTGACGCCTTGCATGTGACGTCCCGGCCACGCCCACTCTCCATGACAGACGGCAGAAGTCTAACTGCGAGCCTACGGACACCTGACCAAAACAACCTGTTTCAGCGCATTACAGCCAAAACTGTGACATTTTGCAGTGCGGTTGATTATACTAACAGGCAAGGACATGAGCTTTTTTATCTGATACCTGCTCGTCATGAAGACAGAAGACGACAATGGCCAGCGGCAATCAACCAAAAGGACTGGGACCCATCCAAGTACTCCCTAATATGCAGTGAACACTTTTTACAAGATAAAGCAATCACAAGTTTGTATTTATTTTATTTCCATTAATTTGGAGGACAATGACACACGTCAAACGTGTCTCTTACTACTGTCCTGTATGTGCGCTGCAACATTGACTTTTTTATCTTTATCTAAGTCAATTGCGTGTTTCACTATTTTCCTCTCCGTCAGTACGTATCCTGTTTGGTTGTAGACAGAAAAGCCACAGAAAAGTGGACTATTGCTAATGCTACCAGCAAAATGTACATATAAATCCCAGTGTAAGGGGATGCATTGTTAACGATAATGATAAAGATCATGTAGGGTGAATTTGGGCAAAAATAGACATTTTATTTAATCAATAAAATTGACTGGGGGGAGAAGGTACGTGTCAACATCCAGTTCGGCGATCCTTAACTTCTCCAAATACCACTCTTTGTGAGCCCTGACCTGATGCCCTACTTCCACCTATAACGTAATCGAACATTGCTTGAAGCAGCCACTTCTCGATTTAGGGGAGGAAGCTCCGTTTTTAAGAGTTGTAGTCCGTTTTGCTCTCTCAGCAATGCTAGTTTCCAATACTTCTGCCGTAAGCTCATTCACAATCACGTGACTGGATGACGTTGATGCATCTGGTCAATACCAGCCTGCAAGCTCAATGAGTCCTAATACCAAAGTGCCCACGGATAAAATGTTGCTGTAACTCACTCTGGATCCTTTTGAATTACATAACAAAGTCAACTCCTTTAGCTTTGTTATGGTTTATATCACATTCACCATTTTGAATTTTTACCCCTTTGGAAATTTGCTCTAGCTTACTTGTGTTCAAATCGGCTTCTTGCGCAGTAGTGCTATCTCTATGGTGACGTCAGGGCTCAGTTAGTCCACTCCTAATATACAGTCTAATCTTTTGCATACGTGTTAATTTGTGTTATTATATTATCAAGGCACAAAGATTTTTATTTATTTCATATGGGTCTGGATAATCTATGTGGTTGTATGTTTTCTGAACAAAATAAGTAGAGATGAAGCTAAAGCAGAAATTAGAACCCAGCTTGGGAGCGCTCAGTTTTCCTGCTGTTGCCCACAGCAACAGCAATCACTTAATCACACTCAGCTGTGCAGCGCCTCACGCAAATCCTCACCTACAGCAGTCAGGCACTGCCCACATCAGCTTCATATCAAGCAGAAGCTCCATCCAAGCAGCAGCTTCATTCATGCCGCAACCCTCCTCCTCCCCATCTCCGCCTTGTTCTAGGCTCCTTCATCCTTCTCCTAGCTCCCACCACCAGGGTCTAGGCCCCGGGGATTTCATCTCATAATGTCTTTCCCCTTCTGCAATCGTGCTGTGCTCTGCTGGGGTCTAAGCGCCAAATCCCAACCACATTCTGTTCAGCACAATAATGTAATCTTGAAAATATTGTCTTTAGTGTCATATGTGTCATAATGTCATAATTCATGCTGTGTCAGATTACCTGCCAACCAACATACAATTCTAATACCATGTTTTGCCTGTTCGAGTCTCTCCAGATTGAAATGTGATTGGATTAAAACAGAACTGGAAAACAAAGCTGGGTATCTGGGTATACTGAATACAGATTTGTTTTAACCCTTTAATAGTTTCCTCAACTATTTGGTAGATCACCTTTTGAGTCAATACATCTACTTTAAGCTTGGAAGTGAAATATACCTATTTGGGGCATCTCACTTTTATGTCATTAGTGTCCTACATCTTAGAAAATACACAGCTTTCTTCAAGGAGTGAATGTTAAAGGTTTAAGATGGCAGTTTTACCAATTGTCTTTTGGGTTTAACCAGAAAAAAATGTCGATGTGGTTGTTTTTTTCTGGATGAATAAGGAGGAAGTTCATTGGGTATTAAATCTAAATTATTTTTGAATAGTTTCTTACGCCGTATCTAATTGGCGACTGGATGATTAACATACCAATTGTAGCAATTAGCATCTATCAATAATCGATCGTGAGACAAAATGACCTGGTATATTGCAAAGTCAATATTTTTAATTTATTCACACAGCAAACATAAACTGCACTGAGATAGGGTGAAATTAATTGATTTATTATGAATACAATATTTAAAAAGAAAATGTACACAACATGACACAATGGTCTTGGATTTATTTAAATTCAATCTATTTCTGTCCTCATTTGTAACAGCAGTCATCTCTGAGAAATTTTCAAATTTGCCAATTTGCCAACAACAGATCAGAGAATCAAACAGTCCAAACACAGGAAATGCAATAATAACAAACACATAAGAGCCATGGGTCCATAGGGAGCGGAGTATTATGAAATGTGCATAAATGTCCCCGATCGTCACTGTCTTCGGTCCCTCCTGCATCTGCAAGAAACTGGTGATCCAGGACACTCCACTTTCATTTATGGACATTTATCAACATTATTGACATTTATCAACATTTATGGACATTGGTCATCTGCCCTTCATGGACCAATGACTCTATGTGTTTTTTTATCATTGATTTCTTGTGTTTGAACGGTTTGATTCTCTGATCTGTATTGGCAAATTCAACGGTTTTGTAAAGTCCTCTGAGATAACTACTGTTGTGATTTAGGCCTACACAAGAATAGACAGAAATTTCATTGACTTAGTGAGAATGAGGTTTTTGATTTCTTGTGACTGCGGGAGGTTTTTCAGTCCTACACTCTTTCTATGTTAATCTCTTTCTAAATGATGTTTGTTTGTGTTGCAGGTGGGAGGCCTGGCATCAGAGAACGTCCGCTGGGCTGAGGCTGTGCAGAGCTTTAAGCAGCAGGAGAGCAGCTTGTGTGGAGACGTCCTGCTCATCACCGCCTTCGTCTCCTACCTGGGCTACTTCACCAGGGGCTACAGACACACGCTGATGGAGCTCAGCTGGAGACCCTTCTTTCAACAGCTCGCGGTGAGAAGCCAAGCACACGTCACGACACCTTTGGGGAACGGCTCATTTTGGAATAAACACCACGTTTATACTGCCTTTCTTGAGGCATGTGTTTTTTGGACTTGTTTGCACACAAGCTGAACCTAATGACCGTGTATTATAGATGGACGATGGTAGCCCCGTAGCTCAATTTAAGCCCAATTGGGATTGCTCATGGACAAAGTTTTGCTTCAACTCGCTCTGGCTCCTATTCCCTGACATTGAAAAAGTACCTAGCTCAGTGACTGTTGATGTCACACCACAATTAATTGTGGGCTTAAAACATATATGTGCTCTCTGTGAACCTGGGGCTTATAGTTTGACATTGTCCTTGTAAATCTGGATATGAGCCATATAAGGATTGACAAATCAGAGGCCTTCATTCATGTCTATTGTCACTGTGCTGCTATGCATGTGTGTGGTTATGGCATGGATCTATTATATTAACTGGATAGGGTATTACTAGCTTGTAGCTGAATAACTCATGTGCTCGGGGGATTCTCTCGGTACTGCAGACTGAACCAGACTAAATTCACGTGGGCTACCCAGAAATTTTCCCCATAGGACTTAATGCATATTAAAACAGCTCAACCTCAGCTGACAGAGAACCTACAGCTTTCATAAAGGTCGGATTTTGTGGGGATTTTAGAGTCCCTTGTCATCCTGAACTTTTTTGGAGATAGAATCTGAGTGATTCTATCTATGCCAAATGTGACATTGTACATTTCTCCAGTGTGAGATCAATAAAATATATCTTATCTTTTCTTACTAAAAAACATTAAAGTGCAAGTTACTGAAGTACATATTAATATACAGTTCACTAAAAGTTCAGCTAATGCAGGTCCTGAGAGTCTCCCCTTCCTTTAGATTAAGACTATGCTTCCATGAATCACGAATGACACATGTTCACCTATTGTGTCATAAGATTGTACATTTATTGAATAGATTCTAAGCTAACAATATATCATTTATAAAAACGCCTGATCTGCTTCTTGTGAACGATCTGGTTTATACATTTCTGTCAGAAAGATTTTTATTCACGTTCATTTTTAACCTTTGCCACGAATAGTTCAATGCAATCCAAAGCAATGCAATGTAATTATAATAAAGTTGAGTTAATGGAGAGGTATTCATGTTTAAAGACCAATAAAAGCTTTTAGGAGCGTCCGTAAAGCGCGAGTGATCTACCTGCGCTGCTTTTATAGTTAATGAAACCACTGCCGATTAAGTGTAATGTTTTAAAGCAGCACCAGTTTGTGGCTTTATACGCTCTTCATGGTCTTGCTTTGCTTTGGAAAGTTCCACAGTGAGACAGAAAGGGACGTGGGACTCATTTACAAAGTTTGTGTGCCTCAGCATGTGGTGTATGCCCAGATTGCGACATTAGGGTGATCTTTTGATTAAATATTGTTAAATTATTATAATTTACTTTGATGGTAGGCCACAGAGAAAATTATGTGATTCTCATTCTAATGTGAAATATTGTGGCCATCATCATGTGGCCATTGTTTTTAAAATGAGGAATAAATCAGCAAAACGACCATCTTCAGTGCAATGTATTCTTGTATAGCCCTAAATCCCAACAGTAGTTATCTCGTAGGTCTTTATAAAACTGTTGATTCGCCAACACAGATCAAAGAATCAAACAGTTCAAACACAAGAAATGCAGGGATAAAAAACACAGATCCATTGGTCCATAAGGGGCAGATGACCAATGTCCATAAATGTTGTTGAATGTCAAGTGTCCTGGATCATCACCACTGTCCTTAGACCCTCCTGCATCTGGTCTTTAAAGGAGCGGTATGTAAGAATCTGGCAATAAGTGGTAATGCAACCTCTCCCACTCTCCCTGACACTTGTAGCCAGATATGCAGACGAATCCAGCTGGAACCAAAATATCTGAACATACAAGAGTTTTGTCAACAGCAAACTATAACCAACACCTTTTTCACAAAGGCCCCGATAGAAATACTCGTTTTATTAATGATTTGAGAATCATAACGAGACCTTTTTGTAGTTCTGCAGCCACATGTTACTTTACCAATGTGATTAGCTCAACGCGGTGAGTTCTGGAAACCTGGATCACTTTCTGATTGGTGAAACGGTGGAGGGCCAATATAAGGACATGGAATTGAAAACTTGAACAAGATTTAGGGACTGTAAAACTAATTTTGAAATATGAATATCCCGTGAAAATCGTACATATTTCTACTTTAATTCTCATCATTTCAAATAATTGTGAGTTCCTAGTGCACATTGTTGGTTGTGCCGTGCAGGTGCCCATCCCTGTGACCCCCGGCCTGGACCCTCTGACCATGCTGACGGATGATGCCGATGTGGCCACTTGGCAGAACCAGGGGCTGCCGGCCGACTGCATGTCCATAGAGAACGCCACCATCCTGAGCTCGTGCCAGCGCTGGCCCCTGATGGTGGACCCCCAGCTCCAGGGCCTCAAGTGGCTCAAGAACAGATATGGAGACAGCCTCCAGGTCATCCGCATGGGACACAAGGGGTGAGAGATTTCACTTCAACATTTTTAGAGGACATTGTGAGGGTAGTAAAGTTCCCTTGTTTGGACATTCATAATGATACTTACAATTTGGTAGTGGGGGGATTGAAAAAATCTATTCTGTTCAGTATACAGGTATATATATGCTGATCAATAACATTAAACCATTGGGTCACACTTAGGTGATAATAACTGTATAATAATAATAATAATAATAATTAGGGCTGTCAAATTTATAGTGTTAACGCACTTTAATTACATTTTTCATTAATTGCATGAAAAAAAAAACGCATGTACAAATGGCCCATGTATCTCATGATGTCACTCAGAATGCCGCGGACAGATGGAAACAGAGCAGGTAGGCCCTCTGGGAATTCAAGTTTTAAAAGAATATGTGCGTGAGTGCGGGGCACTTGCTGTTGTTTGCTGTATATGAACTGAAGTCCGCATCCTCAGTGACCGCTAATAACAACACAGCGAAAGGTGCCGCGGTCACGTGATCCAAGACCATACACGCACAGAACTATTCTCTGCATGTTGTGTGCGTGTCTTTACGTAACCTGTGCGTGACCTGTGCAGCAATAAATACACCGCTGGAGCTGAACTCAGGAAGTGTCCGTGTCTCCTCCTGTCTTCTCCTGAAACGCAACTAAACTCGCTAAATTAAAGCTGGGGCACGTAAATCCATCCATCCATCCATCCATTTTCTTCCGCTTTATCCGTTGCCGGGTCGCGGGGGCAGCAGTCTAAGCAGAGACGCCCAGACTTCCCTATCCACACACACCTCCTCTAGCTCGTCCGGGGGGACCCCAATGCGTTCCCAGGCCAGCTGAGAGACATAGTCTCTCCAGCGTGTCCTGGGTCTTCCCCGGGGCCTCCTCCCGGTGGGACGTGCCCGGAACACCTCCCCAGGAAGGCGTCCAGGAGGCATCCTGAACAGATGCCCGAGCCACCTCAACTGGTTCCTGTCGACGTGGAGAAGCAGCGGCTCTACTCCGAGCTCCTCCCGTGTGACTGAGCTCCTCACCCTATCTCTAAGGGAGCGCCCAGCCACTCTGCGGAGGAAGCTCATTTCGACCGCTTGTATCCGCGATCTCGTTCTTTCGGTCATTACCCACAGCTCATGACCATAGGTGAGGGAGGGAACGAAGATTGACCGGTAAATTGAGAGCTTTGCCTTTCGGCTCAGCTCCGATACGAACGGTCCGATACAGAGACCGCATCACTGCGCACGCTGCACCGATCCGCCTGTCAATCTCACGCTCCATCCTCCCCTCACTCGTGAACAAGACCCCGAGATACTTGAACTCCCCCCCCCCTTGGACTGCCACCTTAACGTGGTGGGGGAGTTTGAGCACTCGGATGATCCTGGGAGCTATGCTGTCTGGGGCTTCATGCCCCTGGTAGGGTCTCCCATGGCAGACAGGTCTCAAGTGACGAGTCAGACGAAGCGCAGTCCGAAGCCAACCATGGACAGCACGACAATGAGAACCGTGACGTCGCCCGGCATGGCGCAGCCGGGGCCCCACCCTGGAGCCAGGCCTGGGGTCGGGGCTCGCAAGCGAGCGCCTGGTGGCCGGGCCTTCGCCCACGGGGCCCGGCCGGGATCAGCCCGAAGGGATGACGTGGGCAGTCCCTCCTGTGGGCCCACCACCTGCAGAGGGGTCCGTGGTGGCGTGGTGCAGAGAGGACTGGGCAGCAGTCGAAGGCGGAGACCTCGACGACCCAGTCCACACACCCAACATCTGGCTCTTGGGCACGTAAATGTTCCCTTTCATTTACAGCTCATGTAGGTTGTGCCCAAAAGTAAAAGGTTGTGGTCAAATCAAACAGATTTAACTACATTTGGTATGAATGACAATGTGCCATTACATTTGTAATATCTCATTTAAGTTCATTTAGACGGGATTTGAAATAGAATGTGAACAATGCGAGTTAACTCACCATTACCATGCAATTAATCAACAAAAAAAATTTAATCGTTTGACAGCCCTACTTTATATATTATTTATGGTTAATTTTCTCCTAATTGTTATTTATAAAGCACTTATTAGTCCTTATTCTGCCTGCATGGCCATTTTAAACATTACTACTAACTAACTTCTAACAGACATTTTCTCATGTGGGTTAGGGTAAGGGTACACAAAGTAGTGACGGCTAATCGAAAGTCTCACCAACCATTTATATTGGTGTGGCAAGTAACTAATAAATATGTTGTCGCAACTGTCACATAATTATAACTTCTTGAAAAATAATGCGTTGGAGCTGTGTACATAACAGCATAAATGATACAGACTTGTTTTTTTGTGTTCTTTTGTTTGTCAGCGTTTAGTCTAAACCTGTGCACTCCAGACCAATAAACATCTACATGGAAAGTTACTGCTTCATCTTTAATTAATTATCCAACTAAATCAGCTTTAGGATATCGTCGTTTCTCACTTAAGAAATCTCCTTACGTCCATTTTGACACTAAAAGCACAAGCCCTGTAACACACCGCTAGAATTTATTTCAGGCTCCACTCGTCTTCATTATAGGCATTCTTTTATATTTATGAGCACTTCACCCTCCAGACGGGTACGTGCGCTGACGTCCTGTGCCTCTGACAGATACCTGGATGTCATTGAGCGGGCACTGGCAGCTGGGGAAGTGGTCCTAATCGAAAACATTCCCGAGACGCTGGACCCGGTGCTGGGCTCGCTGTTGGGAAGAGAGACCATCAAAAAGGGCAGGTGGGTGTTTTATGTGATGGTAGAGAAGGACAATGGACACACTTCACTGCAAAAAGACCATTTAAAGAAGCTAAAACAGTTGAATAATAGGAAGAGAAAGTTGCTGCACTGCAGAAAGTGATGTCAAATAAGTCCAAAAATGCTCAAATTTGGTCAATTGTATATTAATTTGAGCCCATTTTGACTGCCTTAAAACTAGATTTGTCAATGGTACAAGAAACACTATCTTGTTTTAAAACGATAGAAGAAATGGAACGAGAAAAACAGTTCTTCAACAATTATCACCTCATATTTTATAATTTTTTGCAGTGTCTTTGTTTTGGTATTGGGGTTAGCGTTGACTAATCTAACTAATCTATCAAGAGAAAATTGTTTTTTTACTCGCAAAGCAAGATACAACGGCTATTTAGAATCTCTTTATTAGACTTTAGATCAAGGAAATGTGTCTTCATTCGAGAGAACAAAAAGAAAGAAATCTCATCACTGCAAAATCTGCAAATGGGACAAAATCAACAATCTTATTCTAAATTAATACAAGAATACGTTTGTCAAAAACTTGATTAAACGACAATTGCCAGTTTGCATTATCAAGGAAGTCATTTAGCCTTAAACTATAGTCAGAAAATGATGATTATGGGGCATCGGATCCAACCTGACCCAGACATGGACGACACAAAGCTGAAACAGAAGTTGAATGAATGAATAGAATTACACTTTTCATCTCTGCGTCTGTCTTTGACTCTGGTCCCGCTTCTCATTCCGACTGATTTCTGCTCGTTTTTGTCATTAGTAAGTCATTTTTATTTTGTTTTTGTCTCGTCTTCTTTCACTGATACATTAGCATAGAAAAGCATGTTGTAATTGCCCAACTGGAATGGAAAATGTGTGATTATTTTTTAAGATACACATGACAAATCCGTTCAGAGAATATTAGAAATATGGAGTAAACATTAGAACTGTCCCCTTCCAGGAAATGGGACATTACATTGAGTGCATTTGCAACGTATATGAATATGGAGTATGCTGCTGGTCTGATCCCTCTGGTTTCAGTCTACATGCAGGCTCTGTGTCCATTCAATCAGATCGTCCCAGTGCAGTCAATTTGACGGCTTTAGTTTTGGAAGTGTAGTTACTCAGCTTTTCTGCATTTTTTATCTTCATAACTGTGACTTTTTCCGTTTCTTTATGTAATATTTTTTTATGTCATTATTTTTATGAAATTACCTTTCAATTTTGAAATGGAGAAGAGAAGGAGAGAAGCACTAGTAACCATAGCAACGCACTGTTAACTATAGCAAAATAGTTAGCATTAATAGCCTTTCAACTTTCTGTTTTTCTTTCTGAATAAATGTTATATTCACCAGTTTGGGCACTTATCAAAAGTGTGGTAAAGTACAGTTGAATAAAACTGATGGTAAACTCTAACTTTTCAGGATTCCATAGGTTTTAAATGGGAGCAGTCAAAATGACGGCTCCCAACGGTAGTTTCAAACGTGTTAAAAGCAGCTTGTGAATCAAACTCAAACCCTCAAAGTAAATGTTATTATAGATTTGGGAAATGTTTTATGCAAATTTGGCAAAATCACATCACACCTTGTTACTTTGAGTATTTGATTTCACAAAACTGCAACTGCAAACGTCATTTCAATTCTGCAGCTCAATTAAACTCACCATGTTTCCTGCTTTTGCCTCATGCCACAAAACCAAAACAAAGAATTATTTGCAAAAAGACTGTACTTTGTCACAAGGAACAAAATGTTGTCTCAGTAGCATCTGTTTTCCAGAGCAGCTGAAATAGATTAGAGATGGTTCCATCTAATAACAATCCAGTTATTCCAAACAAACCCCTCCGACCACCACCAGATCTTCACACACCCCAGGTTCTTTCCAGGCAATGTGTGTGAAGTGTGTTGCCAAAACAGAACTACCATTTGGCACTTTAAAGGCATAGCCGCCCCACTGTGGCACCTGGTGTTCCCAGGTCTCCCATCACAGTACTGAACCCTGCCTCGCTCTGTCATTGAATGTTGAGTCTCCTGGATCAATCACACTCCCCCACTGACAGCGGGTCAAGCACCCACTGTCAGTGGGGGAGTGTGAAAAAGAGATTCCAAAATGTACTTGATATCTACACAGATAACCAAACAGTTGAATATAGTTGTGTGTTAAAGAGGATAGGATAAAACACACGGTGTAAGTGCTCATGTGGGGAGTGTGGAGGACACAAAGGGAGCAGACATTTGTTTATAGTTTTATTCTATGATCAGTTGTTCAAATGAAGTGGAGATCCCTGATATACTCTGTGGTTCCTCTGTTCTGGGCTCATGGTGGTCTATGCTGCAGCTGGGAGACCCTCTGCTCACACATCAACACTCACTGATCAAGCCAAGTGTTCAAACAAACAACCTTCTCTTAATGACCTGAGTAAAAGCACACGGTGCGGAAGAAAGACCAATTTAGAGCCAATGGTTTGGCACAGCACAACTGTCCCCTTTACCTTCCAGGCCCCCTCCAGCTCCTCTCTGAGCCCTTGGTATTTCTCAAGCTTTGTGTGCTATTTTTTTCCCTGACGTTACCATCGCTTGGCATTGCCACGTCTACCACCACAGCTTTCATCTGCCCTTTGTCTACCACCACAATGTCAGGTCTGTATCTGGAGGTCCCACAGCGTCTTGTTCACCCTCATTCTCCACCACCTTTGGAGGAGTTGCCAGCATCTCCAGTTATGTGTTGGTCTCTATCACTCAGGGCCTGCTCCTGTGCTGCCAGCCTCTGTGCTGTCCTATAGGCCAGCCCTTTCTATTGGCAGGACTTCTTGAGATCAGCCACTTCTGCTTTATTCCAGTGGTACATGCCGTGTAGGGGCTTGTCCTCCCATGATGGGCCCTCCTCCAGCACCTCCTCATCTTGTTGTCTGAGACAATTGCTGAGTAGGTCATTTGTTTGAGCTTTCTCCATGATGTAGTTATGGAGTTTAGTTGTTTCGTCCTGGACAGAGGCTCTAACACTCACTAGTCCTTGGCCTCCTTCTTCACGACGTACGTACAGTCCCAGGGATATATAAAATAACACTCTCTGAGCTCGGTTCCTATTGGAGCTTGAGGGTTCTGTGGAGTATCTCTGCTGTTCCTTGTGCTGCACATTTCTGGGCCGAGATTTTCGAGGTTGTTCCAGGGATTGGCTGTAACCTCCTCCAGCTTCGGGATTACTGCCTCTGTACTGGAAGTCCTAAAGGTTCTTTGCACGCTCATTCTCCACCATCTTTGGAGGAGTTTCCCATTTAGACCTTGGGGTCTCCAGCCAATACTCAGCACAGATGTTTCTGTACACTATGCCAGCTACTTGGTTATGGCGTTCCATTTTTATTTTTTTGTTGTTGAAAGATGCGCCTGGAAACGGCTGCAATCCTAATCTATTTTTATTTTTATTGCTTTTTTCTGCCTGAGATGTTGCTGCAGTACAGTGTTCATGGTTTTACACTGGTCCAGACTGGAGCGGAGAGGATTCATGGTCCGAACCAAGCGGATCAGGTGAAAATCCACAGGAGGAAAGCTGACTGTTTGGAAAATGCTAATGAAGCATTTAGCATTTTACTTTGGACTAGAGCAGAGAAAATGGTCTGAACCAAGCGGGTACTCCACCTTTTGACCTGTCCTGCTCCACCCAGAGGCTACTCGACCTCTGCTGCTGTGACCTGTCCTGCTCCACCCAGAGGCTACTCCACCTCTGCTGCTGTGACCTGAAGGGTTGTTGCTCATTATTCAGATTCATTTTTTTTTTTATTCGCCATTTGCAGTATGTAAGAGTACAGAGCAAGTAACTCTGTACTCAGTAAGAGTAACTCTGTACTCAGTAAGAGTACAGAGCAAGATGGCGCCGGGTCAGGGCGCCTCAGTAAGAGCTCTGGTGTGCACTGTCTGTTCTATGTTGTTTTTCGTCTGTGATACACTTGCCACCGTGAAGTACGACCGGGAGACACTTCTTTACATTCGGGACCAAGCTTGTGGAGTATCGCAGGTCTTACCCGAACTGAGGTGCTTGGACTTTATTGAGTGCCCCACTCGTGAGGCCCGTCAAACAGGGCAGGCGGGCCGCGGCAATGGCCGCGAACAGAGCGGGGGGACTGGGCGTCTCCATCGTGCTCTCCGCGGTGTGGAGCAGGGTACCGGGAGCCGACGCAGGAGGCGCAGACACCGGGGAAAACGAGGCGGTCTGCTCGTTCGTAGCCGCTCCTCCAGGACCCCTTTGCCCTCCATCTACCTGGCCAACGTCCAGTCTCTGCCCAACAAGACGGACGAGCTTCTGTGTCGGGTCCAGAGCCAGCGAGAGGCCCGAGACTGCGCTGTGTTCTGCCTCAGCGAGACGTGGCTCCATCCAGGCGTCCCGGACTCTGCTGTTCAGCCCCCGGGATTCACCGTTCACCGCGCGGACAGAGAAAAGGAGACCACGGGGAAATCCAGAGGTGGAGGTGTGTGCTTTTTAATTAATCAGCGCTGGTGCACGGACACTCGCATCGTGAACCAAACATGTACTGCAAATCTGGAATGCCTGGTCTTGAGCTGTCGCCCTTTTTATCTTCCGCGGGAGTTTTCTGTGATATTTCTATGCGCTGTTTACATCCACCCACGAGCGGACTATACTGTAGCACTACAGGATCTGAGCGAGATCCTTCATAAATACGAGACTGCTCATCCTAATACAGTGATTATTGTCGCAGATTGTAGAGGAGTGTAAGTTTCTGGGTCTAACTCTGTCTGATGACCTGAAATGGGTTAAAAACACTGACCGAGTCGTAAAGAAAGCTCGTCAGCGTCTCTACTTCCTGCGGAAACTTAGAGAATTTACCACTAACTCTAAGATTCTGTTGAACTTTTATCGCTGCACCATTGAGAGTTTGCTTGTTGGTTCTGTGTCTGTGTGGTTCGGTAACATCACAGATAAAGAAAAGAGAGCTTTAAACAAGGTGCTCCGCTCTGCAGAGAGGACCGTGGGCTGCGAGC